CAGGCCACCCCACACCACAGGCCACCCCACCCCACAGGCCACCCCACCCCACAGGCCAGTCCTGGGCACATACTGAGATGGGCAGTGAGCAGATGCTGAGATGTGCACTGGAATCCGAGATGAGGGTACCTCTCCTGTGCTCGGTCCTCACAACCTAGGAGAGAAGACAGGGCATGGAGGGGAACAAAGTGAAGCTTTGGCTGACCCCAGTCCGCTCCAGTCTCTGCACCCCCACCAACCTGTACACCCGGCCAGAGCCAAGAGTCCTCTGTACCCCAACATCTCATTTTCACCCCAGCACCCTGCCCCTGCCCCCAGGCAAACTCATTTCAAGGAAGAGCTTAGAAGTTCCTCCTTCCACCTGCTGTCCAGCCCCATGTCCCTGAGCAAATGTCTTCCAGCCCCAGGGAATGTCCCCAGATCGTCCAGATTCCTTTTCAAACCTCCAGAGTCTTGAAATGAAATGAACCATCCCAACAAATACAACAGCAGAAAGGCATAGCTGGTGTGGATGAGGGGTGCAGCGGGCACATCCGAAGAGGTCCTGGGGGTTTTGTTCAAAACGATAACACCGCAAACCCAGTCACCACTGGGGCTGAAGGGCAAGCCAAACCTGGGCCCTAGGCCCTGACACACAGCCCTGCTCTTCATGAGTGAAATAAGTGGCTGTTTTCCTTGCTGTACCTGATGGGGATGGGGTGCTGGAGACAGGATGGGACAACAAAGGCTGCCCATGCCCCATAGATAGGTACCCAGCACCCCTAAGGGGAAGCAGGGATGTCCTTTCAGTCACACCATTCCAAGTGGGGCCCAAATCCCCAACCCAGGCCACCACTTTCTCCTGCAGACTGGACACCACACAAGGGCGCCGAGCCCAGCCCGGCCAACCCTCCTTGAAGAACAGAGATATCAGTCACCTGGCCACATCCTTCCTATGTCCCCTCTGACCCCTCATATTATTCCACACAGAAATGATCGTGCAGATAATTCATGTCAAAACCACTGCCAGGTCAGGACACAGTGACTTCACGTGTCCAGACTGCAGTGTGCTATCCCAGGTATACCCTGATCTCCCATTTCCAGTAGTCACAGGTCTCAGCTCTGTCACTCTAGCTCTGTCTGGATTTTTCTCAAATGTAGCACAAACAGAATCATAAAGCATATGAACGTTTGCCACCCAGCGTCTCCCACTCAATGGGATGCCTTTCCCAGCTCGTCCAGGCCCAGTGCCCCAGCTGTTCATTCCTTTCTACTGGGCATCAGAATTCTGTGTGACACTCATGCCAAACAGAGACATTCGGTTGTTTGTACCTGTGCTTTGTGTGGTTCTAGTGGGACCACACATGTACAGGCCTCTGAGGTAAACAGCCAAGGTTGGGCCTGCTGAAGTGGGTGGACAATGCGAACACCAGGGCACCACACACGCCTTCGGCGACATACAAGCTCCTCCACACTGAGGACAACGCTTGCTGTGGGTCATTTCTCTTTTAGCCCTACTCTTTGGGGGCCCTGGATTCTTAAACTTTCTCATGAAGCCAGATGTGGCAAGCCACTTGATTCAATCCTGCTGTGCACCTTGGGTGAGCCACTTCACTAATCCGAGCCTCAGTTTCCTTATCTGTGAAATAGGACTTTAGCTCCAACTTTCTAAGACTTTGAGGTAAATATGAGTCAGAGTACAAAGAGAGACACCTGCACAGAAGACAGCCCATCCACTGAGCTCCTCTGTGTGTCAGGCATGACACACAGAGACACTAGTGTCACCAGTAATCAGAGCTGGTGTCACCAGTAGTCAGAGCAAATTATTTCCTTTAGTGTTCTCATCAGGGATATGGGGACAACCACCCACCCACACACCTACACTGCTCAGACTGCTGCCTGGACTCACATCTGGGATCGTCAGTGTTTTAAGTGGCCTGTAAGCTATCTGCTTTCTTCTGTGCCTCAGCCTCGCCTCTGAGAGGGGAAAGAAGGGGCTAACTCTCAGAATGCTGAGAAGCATGTTGTCTCCCTCAACTCAGTGGTCAGCGTCCTGTCTTGGACAGTGTCCAGTGAAGATGGCAGTTATTAGACAGGATGCCGCCACCCTCCCAAGCACTTCCTGTACACTGAGTGGTGGCTCTTGACAGAGCCAAGGCAATGATCTCATTAGCCCTTTCCCCACCACACGGGACCAAGACCCCAGACCTCAGTACCCGATGCAAGGCTGGTTATATCATGTCCCTCTGTGTTGAGCTGGAAGTGTCCCAGCTAGGGGCAGTTTTCCTCTGCTCCATGACTCACCCACCAACAGACACACAGACACACAGAGACACAGACACACACACACACACACACACACACACACACACACACACGGCCTTTTGACCTCTCCTCTCCTACTCTTCTCTACCAAAGCTTTTTGCCAAGGGTTTTAGGCACCTCCCCCGCTCCATTCCTGGGAAGGCTGGCAACATACTGGTTTTGAATCTTGGTTCTACCCACTTAGGAGCTGCAGGCTTTAGGAGAGCCACTAGGGCACCCCAGCCTCAGTTTCCCTCTGTGAAAAGGAGGAACGGGGATGCAGAAGTGCCAGTGAACATAGGTGGGGACCCTCTAGCCATGAGCCCTGCCTTGGGCAGGGTCTGTTCTCCCTCCAAGTGACCTTTCTTTCCTCATCCAGATGAGGAGAGTGGAAAAGGCCCCTTCTACTTAGGTCTGCTTGGTTTCCTGCACGCTGCGCCGAGGGCCTCCACATCCCCACTGTGACTGTGGAAGTGGGAGGAGTGGCTAATCATCCACCCTCATGCTCACAACTGTGGAAATGAAATAGGTGCCTGCAAGACCGTGTCCGGCCTCCTTTCCCTGTCAGAGTCCTTGCGAACATCCCCAGTAACCCTTCATCCTTCTAGAAGTGACAGTCACTCTGAGCACTCGTCCAAGTGGGAAAGTCCTCCCCGCTCTCCGCAGGCCGGCTCTACTCTGTCCTCCTCGGAGCTCGGTTGGTCTCCTGTGTTCATCCCTAGACACCTACAGCTTACACCTCCTCACTTCCCATTTCCTAGTTCCAAAGGCTGGCCCAAGAGAAGAACAGAGAGTCTGTGCTCCTCAGAGCATCTTTCCTCTCAGCCCAGGCCTCCCTAACTCTGTAGTCTACAGGGACAGCCAGGGAGAGAGCAGAGGCAGGCTGTTGCTCCTACCATGCACTGAACAGGCAGGAACTTAAGGCCCATGGGGCAGGATCTGCCCTAAAATACACTCGAGCTATTGGCCCAGGGTAGAGAGGGATGTATACTGGGCTGACTTCCAACCTGGTCACCCTCTAAGAGGTGGGGCCTTTAACCCAGTAGTGTCATCTGAAGCTCCAGTATAATGGATTAGATGATACTACCTCCCTGGGGTGCTGCAGGCTCCAGGGAAGTGGGTGTCTAAACACAAGAAAAGGAGGGTTCCTGGGTGTACAAGGCCAGAGGATGAGAAACGACACCCCCTGACTGTTTTTGGAGACAGAGTTTTCCTGAGTAGCCCTGGCTGTCCTGTAGACCAGGCTGGCCTTGAACTCAGAGATCTGCCTGCCTCTGCCTCCCCAGTGCTGGGATTAAAGGCACATGCCACTACACCAAGCAGAGGAACACACTCTTAATGATTAGGAAAACTTGGAGTCAAAGTTCAACTCTTTCTCTTCACTGCTTGGTGACCTCAAGAAAATTACTTCCAGGTCCTCATCTAAGAAACTAGAGTCTACTCAGCAAGTTTGAGATACACCACAGAGTGCAGCCAAAGAACCCGGCTCCTAGTCTGTGCTACACAAAGGACAGCAAAAATGGCCTGTTTTATTAATGAACTCCTACCCAGACTCAGCCCTGGGCAGCAGACCTGATGAGGCAGGGGCCCACACCTCCCATGCTGATCCTGGAGGACTTCCCCATCCTTCCCAGGAAGCTTGGTTACCATAGAAACCAATGGGCTGCAGCGCTGTCCCGACAGGGAGGCTGTGCCCAGGAGGGCTGGCTTAGGAAACCTGCTGGCCTGGGAGGGGGAGGAGAAGAAGGGACCCAGAACACCCACAGCTGCTCCAGTGACTTCCCCTGAGTAACAACCACAACCCCTCAACCAGGGAGCCACTTCCTCTCCAGTGTGGGCACAGGTGCAGCGGCTGCAAATGCCCTCCTGCCAGTGTGGAGAGAGCTAGCTGCCCACACGTCCTGCCTAAGCTGGGGACAGCAGCCAGCTTGTCAGCACATGCAGCCTGGGAAGCCCCTGAAGTCCACATTATTGCCTGTGACAATAGCCATATTTCACTCCATTTTTCAGACGAGAGCACTAAGGCTCAAGCGACGTACTTAGTCAGGAGTCCCTGACTTGGAGGGTGTGGCAGAGCTGGAATTCAAGTTCACTGTGAGCTGAGCTTACACTGGACTTCCTGAGAGGATCTGGAGGTGGGAGGCTGGGGGAATGGATGTGTGTGCTTGTCTGTGCACAAGCGGAATGCCCCTCCCCCCCCCAGCATAACTGAGCTTCAAACCGTCTTCTGGAACACCCTCCCCTGAAAATCTTGATGTGTCCCCAATGTCTGAAGCCTTACCCCTATACCCTGTTGGGGCTCTCTTAGGTTCAGGGCCTGTGCTGTGGGCAGGGCTCGGGAACCAGTGCCACCAATGGGAGCCCATTGTTCTGTTATCTCTCTGTGTAGAATAGCTGGAAATGGGTCTGAACAGGGCTGCATTCAAGTGAGGACAGAGACAGGCAGAGTTAAGAGTTGGTGGGCTCTGGGCCATGGAGCCTGTATCATCTGAGGCCTTTTCTAGGGAATCCCACTAATCTGGGACAAGATGGAGATCTAGCAACCTGCTAGGAACCAACTGCTAGGGCCCTGTGGCAAAGTGGCCCACATCGTGAGGTTGTCACAAGGAACAGAGGGTGAAGGTAGCACATTCCCATCCTAGGCTTGCATTCCCAGACCTGGACTCAGGAAGACCTGCTGCCCTGCGACACATTCCCTACAAATGGGCCACACCTCACCCACAAAGCCAAGGGTCATGGGACACAGCCAGTAGGACTGTACGGGTCTCTTCGGAGATTTTCCAGGTCCAAACAAAGGGGAAATGGAAGAGATGCTACTGTGCCCGGGACCTGCAGGCAGACGAGCAGAGCCTCGGTCCCCAGAGAATGGAATTATTCTATAGCATGCCACATGGGTGGACAGAGCAGTGTTGGTGGGCTGTCACCTCTCTGCCACCCACCTCTCACCAGCTCGACTGTCACTAAGACACTGTGGAAGGTGCAAATGACAAAGACCATGCTGTGAAGGCCCTTAGTGTGGCATCCCAGTGGCAAAGCAATGGTGTCCATGCCAGGTTCCTTGAACCTTCAAGATCCTGACTCTGGGATCTGGAATCACAGGGTTTGCCCTGCCACCGGGAGGTCAGGGTGCCCTGAATCACTGTACTTCAAGGAGGACAGCTGAGGTCACAGGCATGACGAGCCCAGGCTTGTCATCAGGAGAGTTTTCTGTGTGGGTGGTGAGTGCTGTCTCAAGGGCCCTCCCCAGGTCTGACTAGGCAACCCTGACTGATGATCCCAGCTATATAAACACATTTATTTGCATTTCAACGAGGCCCTGTCCAGCTTCAGCAGCCCCTCCGGCCTCTCCCACTTCCTTGTGGAGAATTTCTCTTCTCATCTTTCCTCTCTGTGTCTTTGGAAGGTAGCTGATTTCCAGAGGGATGGAGGAAAGTCCCGACTCTCATCACATATCTCTTCAGAGCTTAGGGGACAAAAAATAAACAATTGTAGCTGTGGGGTGGGTGGGGCTCAGGTCTGGGAGCCACACCCCTGCGGGAGGAGGGCTTGGCTTCACCCAGAGGTCTGAGTCTGCTGCCCTGTGTAAGCCAAGGCCAGCTTCTCAGGTGACCTCTCAGAAGTCACTGACAAGGCCTTTCCTGTCCTTCTGTCGCTTGCAAAAGGCAAGACACAGCATGGAGAATTCCTGTCCTTTTCAACCCTGAGTGGGCCAGCCTCCCTGGGGCCTGGTGACCGAGCCAGTGCCCTCAAGGGCAGCTGGCCCTGTTGTCCATTAGTTCTCAGTGGGCCAGGGCTGGCCTGTGAATGGGCAGCAGCTCCTCTCCCCAGCCATTGTCATTCCTCCCCAGGCCTCTCCCTTGCTGCTCAACAAAACAGAGGGGCAACTGGGGGCTTCCCTGAAGACATGCTACATGTTAACCCAGTGTCTCCAGACTCGATGGTCTGAAGCCCTGCTTTCCCCTGGGCAGGGATCACAGTTCAAGGCTGAGACTTCCCTCCTCATACTCAGGCTCTGGCTGAGTGGTGAACAGAGCACTTCTCCCAAGCTCCACGCTCACATCCTCTACCCCCATACCCCATGAACTTGCATGGCGTTGGAAGAGAGGCCTGCCTCTCTGGGCCTCAAAGCTCCCCATCTGTTAAATGTGCACAATGACACTTACTTCCATCTGAGGAGAAGTTGCCTGCAAACATCCAGAATAGTTTGTTGTTTGTAGCCAGCGATCAACAATGCTGCTGTTCAGACTGATAGACTCAAATACTTGGCCTCAGTTTCCCCCTTTACTGAAGCAGTTTCAGAGCCGAATCCCATATCCACATAAACAGGGTGTTCCAAAGAAGGTAGTACTGGGAGGAAGTGGGATGAAGCAGAATCAAGGTGACTCTGGGTCATGACCAGCACACTGACCCAGGCAGGTCACGACCAGCACACTGACCCAGGCAGGCATGAAGAACCATGAGAGTCTTGGGAGTCAGGGGGTTTCCAGGGCACTCGGTATGGGCGGCTGTCTTCCTGTCCCTGTCTACTGTGGCTGTGGGAGGGACACAGAGAATGCTACTGGGGATGAGGCCTTCCCACCTGGATTCAGAACAAAATGGCCACCCTGTGGCTGCCCCTCCTAGCTAGGGGCCTGGGGGATGCTGGCTTATAGATCCTCTCTTAGTATCACCTATGAGATAGGGGAGTCCCCATCCTTTCTCACCAGTGCCTCCTATCTCTTCCCCACCCCATTGCACAGGAACAGCACAGTGCTGCCACAGGCTCTTTGCACAGGCTATTCTGCAGGACTCAAAATGCAGCACGGACCACTCCTTAAAAATGGCCTCATGCCAGGCAGTGTTGGCTCACGCCTTTAATCCCAGCACTTGGGAGGCAGAGGCAGGTGGATTTCTGAGTTCGAGGCCAGCCTGGTCTACAGAGTGAGTTCCAGGACAGCCAGGGCTACACAGAAAAACCCTGTCTCAAAAAAAAAAAAAAAAAAAAAAAAAAAAAAAAAGGCCTCAATACCTCACACTCTGCATGTTCCCCTGACTCTGGCTTTCTTTCTGAGACAGGGTCTTCCTACATAGTCCAGACTGGTCTGTAACTCAGACTCTTCCTGCCTCAGCCTTCTGAGTACTGAGACCACACCAAGGCACGGCACATGGCCCATCGATTTATTATTTATTTGCCTCTTCTTGCCTAAGATACAGTACTACCTAGAGTCTTGAGAGCTTCCACAGGTGTGCAGGGACCTGTGGGCCCCATGCTGGCCAACTGCGACATCAACCTTTTGTGGAGTACTCACAGATACTTGGGGCAGTAAGTGAACACACAGGAAAGCCAAGAATAATTCGTCAAGACCCTGCCCCTAGCCAGCTGCCTCCGTCCTCTCTCCAGTAGAGGGGGCTGTCACAAGTCCAGGCTGTGAGTTGGGATGAGAGGAAGGGCAGAGTTCCTGAACTGGGAAAGGTCAACGCCAGGGACAGCAAGTGGAGGCAGCCAGACTTGAGAGTCTTGAAGGCATCTAGGGCACTGAGGCTGGAGGGGACTTTGGGAGAGGGAGCTGTCTGTACGAAGGCGACAACAGAAACCTGAAGAATATTCTGACTTCCCAACGATCCTACAGGAAAATAATATTTTCTTGCCTCGGACTGAGCCAGAGGCTGCCACTAAGGGGCAGGTGGTGTTCCTCCGGATTCTTACAGGAACCCACCACAGTCTAGCCGGCGGCAGGTGGCGGCCTCTCTCCAGGAGCCTCCAGACCGGAGACACAGCTAGGTGGGTGTCTCTGCAACCCAGGTACTTCTACACTCTCGCCAGGCCCCATCCAGAAAGTTTGTCTAAAAGAAACGAAACAGGAAGTCCGTGCTGGGGGACTTTGAGAAGGCCTTGGCCATGTGCTTAAGGCTTGGGGTCAAAGTGGAAGTGGGTCCTGGGCCTATCTCTGCTCCTCCACCTCACAAGCGGCAGGAGAAGCACGCTCCATCCACGTTGCAAAAAGGCGGCGAAAGGAGATCCGAAGCGAGCGGCTGGCCTCCAGGTGCCCCGAGGATGGTGCGCGGAGTGTTTTCGGCGCACTACACGGGACCCCAATCCATCCTGCGTCAGGCAATGGCGCTACCCCACACAGCTGTCCCGCGCGGTTTGGAAGAGTCGCCTGGGTCCACCTGCAATACTCTCCTAACACCCTAGGCTGGGGTCAGGCCCAACCACTTTTCTGCCCGCTCCTCTCCAGCAGGGACTTTGGAGTGTCACCGGCTTTGCCCCTTCCCCCTCTGATCTATCTTCATCTCCGCGCCGAGGACACTCCCCTACTTTGTGAGGCGGGAGTCCACGACTCCTTCAGGCCCTGGCACCCACACAAAAGGTCCCGCCAGAGCAGTGGACAGCGGGAACCCCTCCACCTTCTCTGCCCGCGCACCCGTGGGAGCGAGGACCCGGAAACTCGCAAGTTTACACCGCGCAATCCTCGGGCTAGGAAACAAAGGCGAGAGGGGGGGCGGTGGCGAGAAAGGGGGAGGGGACCGAAAACCAAGCGCTGAAGACAGAGACCCCGGAATAAAAGAAACTGCTTTACTCTCCGCTCTTTCTAGCTCCAAATCAAAGAGATAAAGCCCAGGAGGAGGCCGAGAGTGAAATAAACAGCCCCTGGGGTAGGAGGTGGCGGAGAAGAGAGCTGGGAGAGAAAGGGAAACCGAGTCAGTGCAAGGGGACAAACAAAAAGGACAGAGGATGGTGCCACGAGGAGCTCGGCGGGGGTCCCAGGCGCCTGCCGACCTGCAGGTGCCAAGCTGTCCGGGGCCCGGCTGTCGTGCCCAAGGTGCTCGCTGCCCCCGGCAGTCCCTAAGGCCCCCGGCGTCCCCGGGCTGCGCTGCGTAGTCAGCGGCCGGCGCGGTGGCAGCGGCGGCGAAGTGTGAGGCTAGCGGCGGCCGGCAGCAGACTTACGTTCTTAGCGCGCGGGGTGCTGCGCTCGCGGAGCTGGCGTGCCCTGCGGACGCTCCGACCCGGGGAGTCTCACATCGCGGCGCCGCGCTGGGCAGGCAAGGCAGGGCAGGGCAGGGCAAGCTGGACTCCTGGCGCTGCCGGCTCACCCGAGTCTGGCGGCCCGCACTGGTCCCTCCTCTAGTGCCGCGCACAAGCCAATGGCGCGCCGTCCCCTCCCACGCGCTGGGCTGCCTCGCCCCCGAGGTGGCCGGGGCGGGCACAGAGGGGTTGGGGGGGACCCAGAGCTGCAACGAAGGACCTACCGGGAGCCGCCTGCGGAGGGCGCACCCATGCTTGGCTAGGGGATCCCCGGACGGGGACATCCTGTCGCTGCGCCACCCAGGACTTTCTCGGAAGTTCTGTAGACAGCGCCCCTTTCCCCGGACTGCAAACATAATGTTTAACAATCCTTACGGGTTTATTAAACATCCATTCTCAGACCTAGGACGGTGTCTGCGATGGAAGGAAGGGACCGGCTTTGGCCAGTAGGGTCTCCCACTTGTGAAACAACACGGTTAATAACAATTGTCATGGTTTGCTAAAACATTTTCAAGAATAAAATCTTGCGTTCTCAAAAGTCCAAGAGATATATAGAACTAGTCCCAGTTCACAAAACTTTGAGTCATTCACATTTAGCCTAGGCCTGAAGATATTGGAGAAAGTATGTTCTGTCACCCAGGCCACCCTGGTCTCC